TGTTCGGCTGGCCAGACCCCACATGTTCATGGAAGCTCTCCAAGAAGCAGAGCAAGCAGAGAGGATCCTAATTAGACGGCCCAATCCTCACAGAGGGCACAAGCTCACAGCCCACCACAGCATGCCCGCCAAGCTGATGTTGCAGAGAAAGAGGAGACAGAAGGGGTGTATCAAGCTCAGCCTACTATGGTGAGGAGACCTCGAAGCACTCGGAGTGACCGCTGTTATCAGTGTGACGAGCGCGGTCATGTGGCCCGAGATTGCCCCGCACCAGCTCCAAAGGACAGAGGAACCCAGCCGTCAGGAAACAGCAGAGAAGTGGTGCTGTGAGGGGACCATCACTCCAAATCACTGCCCCTCCCCGCAGACAGTGTACTCTGGTTGGGTACCCAGGAAGGTTAAAAGGGCTGTACATGATTTGCAACATCAACAGACAGCCGTGCCGGGCGTTGGTGGACATGGGTTCCACCATCTCTTTTGGTCCAACCTGGCCTTCTTCCAGGCACTTCAGAGCCACTCCATGAGATCTGGTCGCCAACCGACACCCAGCTCACCATTGGGAGAAACAGCTGTAATGAAAGGGAAGAAAGAGCTGCTGATGGAAGTACGGGGACAAGAACTGAGGCACGAGTTCTGGTTGGCCCAGATCCAGGAACCCTGCATCATTGGTCTGGATCTGCTGATTCATTGGGGAGCGGTAGTTGACTTGCCCCATTCGACACTCACCCTGGGAATGCTGACGGTGGAACTCCAACCTGGTCAAAAAAAGAAAAGACCAAGAGTGCGAAAGTGCCCAAGTCGCTCCGACCCAGCCACCAGATCGGCCCCAGCCATCTCCTGGAACCAAGAGTGTATTGCCAGCGGCCCCATCAACGGAGACAGCAGAAGCCATTTGGGATTTTTGGTGGTGAAGCTGTGAAGGCCTGGATCAAGTCCAAAGTGACCAAGTTAAGTCCCTGCTAGGCAGATATGTGAACATATTTGCTGCCAAGGATAAGGACTGTACCCAGACGGCTCTGGTGCAACACCCGATTGATGCCGACTGCAGCTCCTATCTGCCTGCGACCTCACCAGCTGGCAATGGCTAAGAGACAGGCGGCAGCAGAGATGGTTCAACAGATGTTGAGCACTGGAATCATCGAGAGAGTCTGACAGCCCCTGGGCAGTGCTGGTTGTCCTGGTCCGAAAGAAGTCGGGTGGATGGAGGTTTTTTGTGGACTATCGTCACCTTAATGCAGTCACAAATAAGGGCTCTTACCCATTTCTCCGCATCGACGATGCATTGGATTACATCAGCGGCTCCAGCTGGTTTAGCTCCCTCGACCTACGCAGCGGATACTGGCAGGTGGAGCTGCACCCTGATGCAAGGCCCAAGACAA